ATATCTGGTCTCCCCAGACCCTGCATTCATTATATCTGGTCTCCCAGGACCCTGCATTCACTATATCTGGTCTCCCCAGACCCTGCATTCACTGTATCTGGTCTCCCCGGACCCTGCATTCACTATATCTGCTCTCCCCGGACCCTGCATTCACTATATCTGGTCTCCCCTGACCCTGCATTCACTATATTCGCTCTCCCCGGTCCTGCATTCACTATATCTGGTCTCCCCCGGACCCTGCATTCACTATATCTGGTCTCCCCAGACCCTGCATTCACTATATCCGCTCTCCCCGGACCCTGCATTCACTATATCTAGTCTCCCCAGACCCTGCATTCACTATATCTGGTCTCCCCAGACCCTGCATTCACTATATCTGGTCTCCCCGGACCCTGCATTCACTATATCTGGTCTCCCCGGACCCTGCATTCACTATATCTGGTCTCCTCAGACCCTGCATTCACTATGTCTGGTCTCCCACAGTACACAGAACATGGAAATGCAATTGTTTTAGTAAATATAAACTGCTAAATACCTTTTCTCATCAGCAGTTAGAGCGTCTTGTGACTTCTATCAGTGTACAGCAGAGCACTGGTTAAAGCTTGTAGGAGGAGTTTTCATTCTGCTCTAGTAGAATGCAGGACCCCTGACCTCTGTCCGGACAGTGCTGGTTGGCCCTCTGCTGATCACATGCACTCTCCCAAGAAGAAAAAAAATCTCTCTAGAAATATACACCAAACTGAGCAATGTGCAGAGTGTCTCCAAGTGATATGTCTTATCAGTTGATAAGAGGGGGACACTGGAAGAAAGGGTGGATTAGAGAAGACAGGATCAAACAGCCTTTTTACACAGTGCAGAGGATTAACCCCTTAGGTTCCTTGGTGAATATAACAAGCATGCTTTGCTGCATATACAGACTGATTGTACTGTTGTGGGTAGTAACACTTTAATCTTTAACGCTTCTCAGATGTCTCTGTTCCCACAAACCTCCTCGATAACCGTACAACATGGAACAAAGAAAGTCAATAATTCCATTCGGTATTCCAGCTCTGCAGTGTGTTGATCTGTTGGAATTCTCTGAGCAGCTGTTTGATTCGATTTCCTCTCTTGTCTACGCAGGTTCTCAGGCTAATTTATTGCAGATAAGGCAGTAAGTGAGTTTAATTACCACCTTAATCAGCCCCGAAACCTGCGCAATTCATATGTGTTCGGGTTTAAAGGGATGAGGCGGCAACCCTACTGGGACCCCTTACAAACCTAAAGACTAGTACTGCAGGGTAAACAGATTCTCAATTCAAAAGAACCCAAAGTTCCATCCATTCCTAATAACAACTTTCATACCTGTACCCAGGGGCAGACTGACAACTCATGGGGCCCCCGGGCAATAGGTGATTATGGGGCCCCTGTGTCCTCGCCCACACTCAAATCACACCCAAAAAAGCCTATGAAAGGTACCAGGGACATCTCATGGGGCCCCCTACTGACCCCGGGCCCTCGGGCAGTGCCAGAGTTCACCAATGGTCAGTCCACCCCTGCCTGTACCCTGCATGCGAATGATGTGCAATTAATCAGTTTTTGGCACCAATTCACAAAAAGAACATTGGGGAACTGGAGAAAGTACAGAGAAGGGCAACCAAACTGATAAGAGGCATTGAGGAGCTCAGCTATGAGGAAAGATTAGAGGAACTGAATTTATTCTCTCTTGAGAAGAGGAGATTAAGGGGGGATATGATCTCCATGTATAATACATAAGGGGGGATATGATCTCCATGTATAATACATAAGGGGGGATATGATCTCCATGTATGATACATAAGTGGGATATGATCTCCGTGTATAATACATAAGGGGGGATATGATCTCCATGTATAATACATAAGGGGGGATATGATCTCCATGTATAATACATAAGGGGGGATATGATCTCCATGTATAATACATAAGTGGGATATGATCTCCGTGTATAATACATAAGGGGGGGATATGATCTCCATGTATAATACATAAGGGGGGATATGATCTCCATGTATGATACATAAGTGGGATATGATCTCCGTGTATAATACATAAGGGGGGATATGATCTCTATGTATAATACATAAGGGGGGGGATATGATCTCCATGTATAATACATAAGGGGGATATGATCACCATGTATAATACATAAGGGGAGGATACGATCACCATGTATAATACATAAGGGGGGGATATGATCTCCATGTATAATACATAAGGGGGGATATGATCTCCATGTATGATACATAAGGGGGGATATGGTCACCATGTATAATGCATAAGGGGAGATATGATCTCCACGTATAATACGTAAGGGGGGATATGATCTCCACGTATTATACGTAAGGGGGGATATGATCTCCATGTATAATACATAAGGGGGGATATGATCTCCATTTATAATACATAAGGGGGGATATGATCACCATGTATAATACATAAGGGGGATATGATCACCATGTATAATACATAAGGGGGTGATATGATCTCCATGTATAATAATTAAGGGGGATATGATCTCCATGTATAATACATAAGGGGGGGATATGATCTCCATGTAAAATACATAAGGGGGATATGATCTCCATGTATAATACATAAGGGGGATATGATCTCCATGTATGATACATAAGGGGGGATATGATCTACATGTATAATACATAAGGGGGATATGATCTCCATGTATGATACATAAGGGGGGATATGATCTCCGTGTATAATTCATAAGGGGGGATATGATCTCCATGTATAATATATAAAAGTGGGATATGATCTCCATGTATAATACATAAGGGGGGATATGATCACCATGTATAATACATAAGGGGGGGATATGATCTCCATGTATAATACATAAGGGGGGATATGATCTCCATGTATAATACATAAGGGGGGATATGATCTCCATGTATAATACATAAGGGGGGATATGATCACCATGTATAATACTTAAGAGGGAATATGATCACCATGTATAATACATAAGGGGGGATATGATCTCCATGTACAATACATAAGGGGGGATATGATCTCCATGTACAATACGTAAGGGGGGATATGATCTCCCATGTATAATACATAAGGGGGGATATGATCTCCATGTACAATACGTAAGGGGGGATATGATCTCCATGTATAATACATAAGGGGGATATGATCTCCATGTATAATACATAAGGGGGGATATGATCTCCATGTATAATACGTAAGGGGGGATATGATCTCCATGTATAATACGTAAGGGGGGATATGATCTCCATGTATAATACATAAGGGGGATATGATCTCCATGTATAATACATAAGGGGGGATATGATCACCATGTATAATACATAAGGGGGGATTTGATCTCCATGTATAATACATAAGGAGGATATGATCTCAATGTATGATACATAAGGGGGGATATGATCTCCATGTATAATACATAAGGGGGATATGATCTCCATGTATAATACATAAGGGGGGTTATGATCTCCATGTATAATACATAAGGGGGGATATGATCTCCATGTATAATACATAAGGGGGGTTATGATCTCCATGTATAATAATTAAGGGGGGATATGATCCCCATGTATAATACATAAGGGGGGATATCATCTCCATGTATAATACATAAGGGGGATATGATCACCATGTATGATACATAAGGGGGGATATGATCACCATGTATGATACATAAGGGGGGATATGATCTCCATATATAATACATAAGGGGGGGATATGATTTCCATGTATAATACATAAGGGGGGATATGATCTCCATGTATAATACATAAGGGGGGATATGATCTCCATGTATAATACATAAGGGGGGATATGATCTCCATGTATAAATACATCAGTGGTTCTTATAGTGAACTCGGTGTAGAGCTATTCACCCTGAGGTCATCACAGAGGACAAGGGGATGCTTTTTACATCTGGAGGAAAAGAAATTTAATGTCCAAACACGGAAAGGTTTCTTCACAGTGAGAGCTGTAAAAATGTGGAATAGACTCCCTCAAGAGTTGGTTCTGACCAGCTCAGTGGATTGCTTTAAAAAAGTCCTGGATTCTTTCCTAGATACACAGAATATAACTGGATACTAACATTTATAGGTAAAGTTGATCCAGGGAATATCCGATTGCCTCCCGGTGGATCAGGAAGGAATTTTTTCCCCTGCAGGAGCAAATTGAATCATGCTATGCTGGGTTTTTTGCCTTCCTCTGGATCAAACTGTAGGTGTAGGATTATAACATTTTTTTTTTTTTTTACGGTTGAACTGGATGAACTTTTGTCATTTTGTCAGCCAGACTAACTATGTAACTATGATTAGAATAAAACTTAAATAGGCTTGCTACACATCGGCGGGCACCATATGCTGCTGTATGTTTCAAGCCTTTTTCATTGTACTTTCTGCTTTTTTATCTGCAGTAGCAGAAATCTTGTACACGTTTTTTTTTCCCCCATCCATTTTAAACCACCTTAACAATACAAATGCTTTGATAAAATGGCAGAATGGTTCTCAAATTGTCTATCTCTATTGATCCCAAACAATGGTTTCGTGTTTTTGTTTAAGTGTTTGGAGAGCTGTATCTTCAGCGTTCCTGCGCACATTAAAATTACAGACACTTTGGAGTTGACAGGCTTGCGAGGTTTGTACACATTTGCTGAACTGTATGTTTTGCACTTGTTTTTGAACATGGAAACAGCTGACACAGGAATGCAGAGGCGATGATGAACTGCTTATATTTATGCAAAGCATAAAGTGAATGTTTTATATTAGAGAGCATTGCATCGCCGCGTCTCCGGCAGAATTGCCTGTTGAGAAGTGGTTGCCTCTGAATCTCCCATTGATCTGATATTCTCACCGGTAGTAAAATTACAACTGTCTGGATCTAATCAGAATGCATAATGCTCCACCTGCCATTCTTATGACTCTCTCGATAGCCATTCGTCTGTAATGTAAACCATTCGAAATAAATGTGCAAATCAATAATACCTGTATGTTGTAGCAAGCTTTCTGCAAGACATGTTTATGGGGCTGGATATCACTCTCGATGCCCATCGATTTCACCTCCGCCCCGGAGACGCATGTAGCCGGCATGACAAACTGTACCGTCGCCACAGAATTCCAGTTACGGGGGATCTCCTGGTCTGAGCCCAGCTCAAGCTTGCAGGATAAACTGTGTGGTTGATCTGGACCTGCAAAGACAGGAAATAATAGGATCCAACAGGAGAATTCTTCCTATGGTGGGCACATATGGTAAGCTGGAATGATACCAATGAAATGAGCAATTATTAGGGCTCATACACACTGGCACAAATTACATTGTGTTCAGATCTGTAATGTGTACTTTTTATTTTTATAGATCTACAGATTTTCATGAACAGAGTTGTATGTTATGCTATGGATCCATGCGCCTGTGTGCAGGTTTATAATCTGGAGCTGAAATCACCTGCGTAAACAAAATAGAAAAATCACCATCCATGGTCCTGCGTATGGACTGTATTTAACGCTGTATACATGTCAAAGTTTGTGCTAACATTGGTTCTGAATGGCCTGCATCTTGGCAACCTAGGATGCTAGGCAACAGGAGCCTCCTGCATCCTAGCAACCTAGAGCACTAGGCAGCAGAGGTCACCTATGTCCTAGAAATCAAGGATGCCTGCTGTCAGGAGCCACCTGGGTCCCAGCAACCTAGGGTACTAGGCTACCAGTGTCCTAGCAACCTGAAGCACTAGGCAGAGGAGGCTACCTGCATCCTAGAAACCAAGGATGCCTGGTGTTAGGAGCATCCTGCGTCCCAGCAACCTAGGTTGCTAGGCCTGTCTGTGTCCTAGCAACCTAGAGCACTAAGCAGAAGAGGCTACCTGCATCCTAGAAACCAAGGATGCCTGGTGTTAGGAGCATCCTCCGTCCCAGCAACCTAGGTTGCTAGGCCTGTCTGTGTCCTAGCAACCTAGAGCACTAAGCAGAAGAGGCTACCTGCATCCTAGAAACCAAGGATGCCTGGTGTTAGGAGCCACCTGGTTCCCAGCAACCTAGATTACTAGGCCTGTCTGTGTCCTAGCAACCTAGAGCACTAGGAAGCAGAGGCCACCTGCGTCCTAAAAACCAAGGATGCCTGGCATCAGGAGTATCCTGTGTCCCAGCAACCTAGGTTGCTAGGCCTGTCTGTGTCCTAGCAACCTAGAGCACTTGTAAGCAGAGGCCACCTGCGTCCTAGAAACCAAGGATGCCTGGCATCAGGAGCCTCCTGCATCCCAGCAACCTAGGTTGCTAGGCCTGCCTGTGTCCTGGCAACTTAGAGCACTAAGCAGAAGAGGCCATCTGTGTCCTAGAAACCAAGGATGCCAAGTGTCAGGAGCCGCCTGAGTCCCAGCAACCTAGGCAACCAGGCCACCTGTGTCCTTGCAACCTAGATCACTAGGCATCAGAGGCCACTTGTATCCTAGAAACTAAGGATGTCAAGTGTCAGGAGATGCCTGCGTCCCAGCAACCTAGGTTACTAGGTCCTAGGAGAAGGCTGTGTCTTAGCCCATAGGGCACCTTTGTATTGCATGCTGTACACATGTAACAATAGCACAAATGTTGTCACATGTGTACAGTGTATGGACTGAATCTTACATAGGATCTTGCTGTCAGTAGGATCCTACATAAAATCATATGCCTGTGTGTATGAGCCCTTAATAGGAAATGAAAGAGAGCAAACTCAAGTACGTGTTACTTATGACGACATTCGGGATATATGATGAAATGAGACATGTGAATACCTTCTGTTCTATGAAGGTTTCACACTGATTACGTTAGAGGGTTTTTGATATCTTGAGTCCTTTCTCACCATAATCTGCACGAGTGTTCCATACCTCCCAACAGTCTCGGATTGTGCAGGACTGTCCAAATTTTTACTGTTGGTCTGAATTTCCTTGTGCAGAGGCTTTAATCTGCAAAGACTCTGCCCCTGCTACTGTGTGCTCACAACTCAATGAAAATTGCCAATGGAATCAATCATTTACCAGGTTATATTGCCAAAGCTTAATTGAAGAAACTTGTGTTAGAAGTGGGGCAGCACAGTGGCTAAATGGTTAGCACTTCCACCTGGCAGTACTAGGGTCATTGGTTCAAATCCCAGCCATGGCACCTCCTGCCTGGAGTTTGCATGTTCTCCCTGTGCCTGTGTGGGTTTCCTCCAGGTACTCCAGTTTCCTCCCACACTCCAAAGACATGCTGGTAGGTTAATTGGATCCAGTCTAAATTGGCCCTAGTATGTGTATGTATGAATGTGAGTTAGGGACTTTAGATTGTACACCCCTTGAGGGTTAGGGACTGATGTGAATGTACTATATATATGTAAAGCACTGTGTAAATTGACGGCACTACATAAGTACCTGAAATAATAATAATAGAAGCTGATTGGCTACCATGCACAGCTGCACCAGTTTTAGTATATTTCTCCCTTTGAAAATATTTTGACACATCAGGAATATATTCATAAAAACTTTTCAATATAGGATATCTATGTGTTTACTTTGTTCTAGCTGGAAGGGAATGGTTTGATTCCTAGTCTAGTTATCCCAACTGCACAGAACTGCACCGGTCACTGGGAGATCCACCCCAGACCCATTTTATGGTGATAAGAGGCTACAAGCTCAGCAGAAAATTTATAGCGCAATAGGTTTCTCCTTAGGATAAGAGAATAAGCCACAGGCCAGGGACAACGGTCAGCTTGGACATCACAATAATGTGGGGGCAAGAGGAGACAAGAGCTACTAACCAGGGTTGAAGACAGCAAGGCCTGGCAAGGGGTCAAACTGAATGTGACAGTGAACAATATCCTTATTCTCCAAAAATAATCCATACACATCCACTACTTAATGCCCTGGAATCTATATTCCATTAAATAGTTTCTTACTGTGTTTTTCTGCCTCCTTGTAATATCTTCTGTGAGCTCCTGAACCCCTCCTTTTTACTCTCACTTCCATTTGTTTGGAATGAGCCGCGTACATAAGTAGCAGTCATATGCACTGCCCTATGCATACTACAAAATCCATCATCCGCAGTCCATTTCAGGAGCAATCAAGAGAGGTTGGCTACGTTCTTACATACATACATGGAGAAAGGATGTAGAGCCACCCTCTAACAGGAAGTCAAACTGATATTAAAGTCTTATTTTTTTTTTCTTAAAAATAACAAACATGTTATACTTAGCTGCTGCATGTAGTGGTCTTGCACAGAGAAACTTCCCTCCCTCCTGTCAGGTGCCCCCATAGCAAACAGCTTGCTATGGGGGCACCCGAGCAGGTGCATGTCTGAGACGCTGCTCTGTGTGACACACAGAGTCACAGCTCGGCCCCGCCCCCTCCCTCTTCTGATTGGCTCGCTGGCTGTGATTGACAGCAATGGCTCAATCAATCAGGAGTGAGAGCCCCTGGAGAACCAAGGCTCTCGTGGACATTACTGGATCAAGAGGGGGCTCAGGAAAGTGTTAGGGGGGGCTGCTACACACAGAAGCAGGGGCGGACTGACAATTCATGGGGACCCCATGCAATAGGGGATCATGGGGCCCCTGTATCCTCGCCCACACTCAAACCACACCCAAAAAAGCCTATTAAAGGTACCAGGGGCATCTCATGGGGCCCCTTACTGACCCCGGGCCCTCGGGCAGTGCCCGAGTTTCCAAATGGTCAGTCTGCCCCTGCACAGAAGGTTTTTTACCTTCATGCATAGAATGCATGAAAGTAAAAAAAACCTTGAGACTTTAGAATCACTTTAAGAATACATACTTTATTAAAATTGGTTTTCTTTTAAACCAGAGTTTAGCATTACTTTACATTTACTATACAATACAGAGAACTATGTTTTGTGTGAAGTTGCTCTAATTTTCTTCTTTTATTCTTGTATTAACCTTTTTTTGTTCTAAAAACGTTAGCTGAAATCACAAAACCAGCGGGGTATTTTTTTTAATAAATCTGTTATTCTGGATCTCATTATATTTTGACTGCTTGTCAAGGTCCATTGGTGTGGTGGGGGACCCAGATCAGATGAGTCAATCATTACTATAATTCTGGATTGTTTTCCCCCAGAGCTAGGAAGACAAAGACTTATTACCAGCATTACCCTGGCGCTGAGCTTTACATACTACACAGAGGCAAAAGATATTACATTGGAAAACAATACAACCAATAACTGTAGCTTCATCCGTCTGGTTTTTGTTAGTATTGTACTTCATATGTGAGTAGGGCAAGAAGAAGGGACAAGTTTTATTTTATATATATATATATATATATATATATACATACACACACTATATATATTTCTGATATTGGACACATAATAAAGCTGGTTGAGGTCAGTTTGAGGCTTGAAGTGCATTTCCACTTTTGCAGCCAAATTGAGATAACACCTACTTTAAATTTGTTACCTGTTCCCATTAAAATAGCATAACTATAAAAAAAAAAATAAAAGTTGCTGGTTGCCTTTTTAAGTGCTTTTATTTGCTTAAAAATCCTGATTGTAATGCATAGGATTGGGCTGTAGAGTAATGATCTTCATAATAACCTGTCTGTAATGAGATCGCAGTCTTCATTATCAGCTGTAATTTCATCACTGTCTGTCCTAACAAAGGGCTAAAAATTTAGAAACCGCCCTCCTGCGTTGTATGTTAAAGTGTTTGTAAATCTCAGACATGAAATATGAACAAAGCATATCCTTCTATAGCAGTGATGGCGAACCTATGGCACGCGTGCCAGAGCTGGCACGCAGAGCCATCTCAGTGGGCACGCCAGGAAGAAGAGGATGATGAGCGCGCATGGACCGGCCATCCAGATCTCGTCCACACTGGATCCCCATCAAACTACATTTCTCACATGTCTCTGGGGCCAGGGTGGGCGTGGACGAGAGGAAACGGCTCCAATGCGGCTCTGGCACCAGGGGTGATGTACCCGGGGATGGGCGCGGAAGAGAGGAAGAGGCTCCCACACTGCTCCCACACTGCTCCGGGGCCAGGGGCAACGTGTTCAGCGTGGATGGGAATGAGCTGCTGGGTTGGAAGCCACACCGACGCTGCCAGAGGTGAGATTGCTTGCAATGTCATCCATCAGTGCCCAGCAGTGTCGCCTGTCAGTGCCCAGCAGTGTCGCCCATCAGTGCTGCCCATCAGTGCCATCCATCAATGATGCCCAGCAGTCCCATCCATCAGTGC